GGGGGGGGTGACGTGCACACGGAGTCTTCAGATGCTTGTGATGGTTCTAAAAGAGCTGATCGGAGTTCAGTTCATTGGCAAGCAGTCTCACTGGGTGCTTTTTTAATAGTAAGATTTTTACAGTAACATGAAACACCAGGTGTTTTTGTGACACTTCTTGTCAATGGACTTTTTCAGGGAGCTCTGTGTTTCATAGCAAATCTTGAGACACTTGCTTGCTTCTGTAAAAATACTGTAAATGTATTAGTTTAAAAATATGGCATGTTAAACGTTGCGTCATAACGGGCTTTTTTTTTTTCTTTTTTCTTGACATTAACCAGCTGTTCATGTTGCCCAAAGCGACAACCTGATTGAACACAAGTGAAATATTTATAAATGCTCTGTTCGTAACGAATTCAGAAGCAAACCAGAGTAAAGCCTAAAGAAGTTTAGTATAAAGCTATCATTCAGTGGCATAGATGGATCCACATCCAGACCTCAAACAGGTTACTTAGCCATTTCAGGAAATGTTATTAACAACAACTGTGTAACAGCGGACAAAGAATGAGTCACACCTGACGCGTTGGGCAGTGTTCAAACCACAAGCATGTTTTTCCGTACCATATCTATCACACTCGTCTGTATTCGTGCACTTTTTCTCATGCTATAGGGATTTGTAGCTGTAACCTTTGCCTGCCGTCTGTGTCTCTCTGTACAGGTGACACATGTCTTCTCCAGCTATGGGCCAGGTGTCAGGCAGGTTCACTTTCTCCACAAGATGAAGAACATGAACATGGTGCAGTTTCATGCCACCCGTGTCACAGGCAGCTCCGTCATCGTCAGGCCCACTAGGTCCACCACGCACTGAAGACGGCTTCTGTCACCACGCACTGAAGACGGCTTCTGTCACACTTGCATGTTGTTGCTAATTTCTCCTTTTTCAACATAGACTATCAGATTAACACTTATGGAGGGTTCTCACATCCCTCAGGCTTTAAATGAAATGTGTGTGTTTTTCATTCAGCCTTAATCCAAACCAAATGCCTGTCATGACTGATGTGTAACGGTAAGATGCCTGTGCCTTTGCTGTGCCTTTGCTGTGCCTTTGCTGTGACTTTGCTTTTACAGCAGTGGAGCTCAGATGAAAATATCTAATTCAGCATAAATGTGCAGAATTTTTGTGACATTAAAATAACTGCAGGGAATAAAGTTGGACCCATGACTGACTTTCTTAAGTCCTCGACTTATGTATGGAATTCAAGTCCATTTATTTCTTTCACAGCAGTGACACCACAATATGCTTTAAATGGGTGTGTTGTATCATTTATACAGAATAAAAGGGACATTAAAGGAAGAAAGACAGCCAGGTGACAACTGTGGCAGGAAAAAAATAAATAAAAATTTTTTGACGGGTGTAAATAACCTGCAGAGCCCTTAGGGTAGGAGAAGGTTCCCGCATGCAGAGCAGAAGAGCCTCCTTCACAAACCAGCAGCCATTTCTGCAGATGATGTCCTTGCATGTGCTCACCGGATGTCTTTTGTTAGCTCAGCTCATGTCTCACTTTCCTTTCTTCATGAGCCATTCCCTCCTAAATCCCCCCCCCCCACTTACATCCTACATTCAGTCTTTGTTCATGAAGTATTCTATGTCTCAATAAACCATTTGAAATAAATTAAAAATATCAGACTGTTTTCAGCTTCCATTGGATGGATTTTAAGCAGAACTTGGGCTGGAGATTTTGGCTTGACTTGGTGACACGAGGTGGTTTGTTAAAAGTCCAATCTGTGTTTCTTGCAGGCCCCCGTTTCCTTGTGACAGTGTATTTATCTAGGAACTAAACATGAAGTATGCAGCTTTTTAAATACTTCCTGTATCGCAATGGCCAAGAGTCATTCTGCAGCCATCCAGCGGTCAGCCCCCCCTTCCGATTTAACTGCATTGATTCATTCACGTCTGAAACGGGAAGTTCAGAGCTGATAACTTTGGTCCGCTGGCGAGATACTCAAGTCGAGATGTTTGCACACACATTTACATGTATGTACGATTTTTATTTCCTTGTAAATAGTCTACAGGGTTTGCAAACTACCTCAACATTTTTGATATCGCCAATTTTAATTGTTATAAGAGAATAATATAGATTTACCGTTAGATTTCTTGCGTGACCTTGAGTCAGAAATCGTGTCGCTCCTGATGCGTGAGAGCTGGCAAGCAAGTCTCCGCAGATTTAGGGAGAAATAGCTGCCCGAATAACAAAAAAACAGGAGTTGTTCTAGGCTTTGGGGTGCAGTGGGATACCGATACTGTGCCCCCAAAGCAGGTCTACGCTGTAAGACCTTCTCACGGTGTATTATACTCGACGGCACTCCGCTTAAGTTGCGCAGCGGGATTCCCCATTTATGTCGCGTTCCGGAGACATAATTGCGGTACCTTCGCCAGCCTAGAAAGCATATGAATGAAACTCTGAAAAGCGATTCCGAAGCAAGGCTCATGAACCAAGAAACCACAAACCTGTTCAGGCAATAACACGAAGAAGACGACACTTCGCACTAGATAGTAGATAACTTCTGAAGGGGCTTTTGTTCTAACCGTGCACTTTTTCCTGTAAGTAGGAGTTTCCAAATAGAAGTTCATTTCCCCTGCATCGAAGCTGCACAGCGATGGCGACATGGATGCTCTTCTCCTGCTGTAAGTTATGCATATTATCGAATTCGCTGTTTTTATCCGTATTACTGTATGTGTTTTAATGATAAATATACCACGCACTTTATTGGGGAAGCATGTGAAAACGTAAGCAATTGAAAGCGTACTTCTGTGGGTTCTTACAGTGCCTGACAAAAGTCTTGTCGCTTAACCAAGTTGTAGGAACAACAAATAATAACTTGACCTGTAGTTAATCAGTTGGAATCAGAAATGGCTTATGAGAAAAGGCAAAGCCCTCTAGATTATGCTTATTATACCAAAATAAAGTTTTGCATCATTCATTGAGTTTTGTCATGTAATTAGGACAGAAAGGTCAACTTTTGCCTGGACAAAAATCAACCTTCTGCCACTTTGCCTCTGTCCATCCTTGCTGCAAGCTGTGGGCCTTGGCAAATTCAACATGCTTTTTTTGTTGTGTTCTTGTTAATGCTGGTTTCTGAGCACTAATTTGACCATGGAGACCACTGCGTGCGAGAATTCGAGAATCTGTTCTTGTAGACACAGCGGTTTCTGGTGACCAGTTCTGATGTAGCTCTGCTGCAGTTGAAAAAGGGTTGGCCCTGGACTTTCGAAGCAACAAACGGTCCTCTCAAAGAGTTGTCTTACGGGGTCTGCCTGACCTGGGCTTGTCATGAACATCACCAGTTTCTTTATATCTTTTTTTAATCCTCTCCACTTGATGTTTGGATACATTAACGATGTCTGTCACCTCAGCAGCAGACTTGGTCTGTGGTTGAATCTTTGGCATGTTTTCAGAAGCCAGGCTGCACTTCAAGTGAAGGTCTGGTGTACTGGGGTTCTTTTTATACACACCTGGGATTATGTTAATTACAATATTTGTCAAAGGTGAACCTCTAATTTGTGATTGGTTGAATAATTAAAAGACATGACAAGACTTTTGTCCTTGCAAAAACAGGTGTTTTGGACTTTAACAAGCTGTGAACATCAGGACACTTTTTGACTGTTTCATTTTGCACCCAGTTATTAATATGAAAGCCCTTGGCATTAAATTGATCCATTCATTGTAACAATTGATTGATTAGAAATAAAGTTATATGCCTTTTTAAGTTACTATGTCCTTATGTGACAAGACTTTTGTCAATGACTGTATGTGCTGAGTCAATGTTCTATTAAGTCATCTTTTCATAGAATGGAAACTATGACTGCTGGGTTATTTCTTGCTGTTTCTCAGCCTCGGTGTCACTGCCATTTCAGGTCTTCTTATGGTGACTTCAGGTCAAACCATTGAGGTCTCTCTTGGAGACAAGGCTGCTCTACACTGCAAAGGATCAGGATATGGAGATGCGTTCACTACTGAGCCGAAGAGCGTCACGTGGAAGACCCAAGATCAGATAGTGGTTGAGTACGATGCAACAGAGGTCAGGATTGGCCCTGGGTTTGAGGGCAGAGTACAGGTTGACATCAAGAAGTTCCAAGAAGGAGACTTCACACTAACCTTGTACCCCACACGCTACAACGATGGTGACATGTATGAATGTGTGTGGAATAGAGGTGGAACAGATCAAACATTTCTTGGAAGTGTCCATCTTAAAGTATTAGGTAAAATCATTTGCACTAATTGGATTAATTCCATGATTTTTAAATCTGTATTCTCTGGTTCACATCTCTCTGCATGTCTCTTTCTTTCTCAGCCCCTCCTGTTCCAGCCCCTCTCTCCGTCACGGTGGGACAGTCTGTCACCCTGCCCTGCTACGCCCACATATACAGGCAGAAAAGCCAGGATGCCATATCTCTTCAGTGGAAGAAAGGCCAACAGGACGTCCTGCAGATGAAATCGGGAAAGGTGACTTATGGTTCGGAACAGCGAAACCGAAGCTCTGTGTCGCTAGACCGGATCAGGCAGGGGGACCTGTCGCTCACCGTGCAAAGTGTCCGTCTCGCCGATGAGGGAGTTTATTCCTGCTCTTATGAGCTGAACGACCACCCTGAAGACGGAGACCCTGCCAGAGTCACGGTCGCGGTTACAGGTAAGAACGTGCATCTCTGCACGTCTCACTGCATAACTGCCCTGGTTCCGCGAGTAGATTAATTCTGTGATGTCATGCTTCAGATTTCCCCATGTTAGGGCCATTTTGGGATTAGAGTGGTACAGAAATGGCAGATATGTCTTTGAGATTCACTGGACAGTTGATTCTCTTTCCTTCAGCTTATACAGCCAACATTTCGTTGTCTCTGGGAGAGACTCTCCACCTGCCGCTTTACACCGAGAAACCAGCGAGGCTCCAGTTCTCCAAGGCAGGTTCTGGCCATCCAGTGATTCTGTGCTCCATACATAATGACCAAGCCCAGTGGAATGCGAATTGCAGTCGGAAAGCTTTCGTCCAGAATAGTACTTTGTTCTTGGACAGTATTACGTCAGCCGATGAGGGGCTGTACACAGTGCAGGACATTCAGACTAACCGAACCGTCGTCGCTGTCTCTCTGAGCGTGATGGAGGGCCACACAGGTACGTGTGTAACACCGTTAACTGCTTGCTCTTTTTCATTGTGATATTATTATGGAGGGTAACTGAAGCCCCTCAGTGAGTGTGACACAGAGCTTTTCTTTGTCTTCACAGAATCACGAAGTTGGCTGACGTTGCCAGTTACAGCTCTGATTGTGGGTATGGTTGTACTTTTGTATGCATTTTAATAAAAATGAAAAGGAAAAACATTCCTCAAATACAAGCACATAAGGGTGTTTGAAATTGCATTCGAAATATCTGCAGACCCACACCCTAGCATTTCCGTCCACAGCCTTGACCGCGTCTCTGGGAAAACCGTCCCGCCACACCCTAGCGCGTGCGTCCCTAGCCTTGACAGTATCTCACTCGGTCCTTGTTGGTGCCCTCTCTGATGGCAAACTGGTGACGGGAACACCAAGGCATTTTGTGCCAGGGAGCTAGATGGATAGATAGCACTAAGGCCCCTCGAAAGCGCATAATTTTTCAGATTCGGTGTGAACTGCCCCTTTAAGGGAGTATGGATGTCACAGGATGTCGTCCAGGTCTGGGCCACCTTCTGCAGACACAATACTGTAGGACTAGACACAGCACCAAATTGACAGTTCTGTGCCTGGGTACTTCCTCCATCCGCCCAAAACCCTCTGACAATAAATCATGTGACAATAAACCAGAACTGCTCTTGCTTTTGAGATGAGGAAGGGGCAAAGGAAGTGGGCAGATAATCAGATAAAAGGAAACAACTTATGTCAGTTACTATTTATCTCTATAATAAAGTATCAAAATTAGAAAACAAAATCTAATTATTTCCCAGGCAGGGTCCTGGTTAGCCAGGTGCACCGCCACCACGTAGCTCCCTGCGTAGGACCCTGTGTCAGCCCCTGTGTCAGCCCCCACGTAGCTCCCTGTGTCAGCCCCCACGTAGCTCCCTGCGTAGGACCCTGTGTCAGCCCCCACGTAGCTCCCTGCGTAGGACCCTGTGTCAGCCCCCACGTAGCTCCCTGCGTAGGACCCTGCGTCAGCCCCT